CTTTATCTTTATTAGAAACGGCCCTGCCCCTGCGTAGTCAACACCGCAAATTTCAAACGGGAAATTGCAAGAAAATCTCGATTTAGGTAATTGACCCATAATTGGCGCTAAGATTTGTGCCCTTTGTCTTCTACACGTAACGCATTTATTGATAACGTCCCTGCACAGACGACGTCCGGAGACTATCCAATACTTCTCACGCAGCGCGTTGCGAGTAATGCTTGAGGGCCCGCATGATAGGTAACTTGATGTTCCAAGGTTACAATTAAAATAGCTAATGGATGCTTCGCGCACAATACCATTGGATGCATTTTCTCATATGCATAGAAAGAGTTTTTTAATCTGCCGCCTACTCTGATGATTCCGTTTTCATCAAGGAAAGGTGACAAACTCAAAATTCTCGATTTGTGATTCAATTTTACATTTCGTGTCAAGCAATCATATTCTTCAGGAAATGTAACCCTTTGAGCCAATCTTATCAAACATAAAAGGGCCTCACTTAGCTCACTAACGGACAAAGGACCGCTGAGCCTTTTCGACTTCATGCTATTGCATTTAAATCTATTAATATAGGCAATCACTCGCCTCAATTTTGTCAAAGTTGAGTATTTGGAAAACAATGAATCGGTAAAGTTCAAATTTGAAATAAAGCCTTGGATGTCGCGTTTAACTCTGGCAAATTTGGTACACTAAATTTGACATCAGGCCAATTCGATTCGTCTTCAGATAGAAAATCTGGCCCATTCCACCATAAGACCATGTCACTTAACTCATGTGGATATGCTCCCCTCGATAACACGTCCGCGGGGTTATGTTTTGTTTCAATGTAACGCCACTGGTGGTCCGCTGTCAACGTCTGAATTTCAGATGCTCGATTGGCTACAAACGTTTTTAAAGTACTAGGGCAATGACCAAGCCACCCCAAAACCACAGATGAGTCACTCCAAAATGTGCATTTGTCAAACTTTATGTTTATTGAATGCAAAACCTTACTTGCCAATCGCGCTAGTACCAAGGCTGCACAGAGCTCTAATCGGGGTATGCTTAAAGTCTTTATTGGTGCTACCTTTGTTTTAGCACACAACAAATGTACCTCTATATTACCATATTCGTCTAAGCTTCTAACATACAGACACCCCCCGTATGCATCCTTTGAGCTGTCCGCAATCCGTGTAACTCGACAACTTTGGCATTTTCACACAATACTCGACGGGCAATTGATAAGTCATTTAGTACTGGCAAATCATCGCGAAGTTTTGCCCAGCTGGTGCATATATTTTGTGAAAGCGTGTCGTCCCACGAAACCCTTTCCAACCAAAGTGACTGCAGCATAATTTTTGCCTTTATTATACAAGGGCTTACAAGACCTAAGGGGTCATAAACCTGAGATATATGTGATAGTAGGGTTCTTTTTGTGACCCTTTCCTCCTTATTGAAGTTACCAATTTTATACGTCATTACGTCCCTGGAAGATGCCCATATTAATCCAAGCGTTTTGCAGTTTTCTCTTTCACCAATTTTGAACGCATGTTCCTGTCGATTATTTGCGCTAATCACAGATAGCAACTCTGCACTGTTTGACTGCCACTTGCGCAGCTCAAAACATCCCGATTTTAGCGTATCAGATACGTCTCTGCAAATCTCTACAGCCTCATTTAAATTTTCGCACCCTGTAAGCATGTCATCAACGTAAAAATCATGCAAGATTATTCGTGATGCACGCGGATTCGATTGGGCAATTTTCAGACCCAATTCTTGTAAGCATCGTGTGGCTAGATACGCGGCGGAGGCAGTGCCGTAGGTGACGGTGTTCAGCTGATAGGTACCCAAATCCTTAGAAGCATCATCTCGCCACAATATCTGTTGCAAATAACGCTGTTCGGGCTCTCAGCACTTGCCTATACATTTTCGCTATATCGCCAGCTATGACAATTTTATGAGTACGAAAACGAAGTATAATGCTTAGCAAATCATCCTGTACAACAGGACCTACCATTTGTAGATTATTTAGAGAAAACCCAGATGAAGTAGGGCAACTTCCGTCAAAGACCACACGCAACTTAGTGGTCTGAGAGTCTTCCTTGAAGACCCCATGATGCGGCATGTAGTACGTCGTGACCGTCAAATCATCGCGTCTACACGCGCCATGTGATTGAGCACTTCATACTCTTTCATAAAATCATTGTAACTTTCCCTGAAGTTCAAGTCTGTGACTAACCGTTTTTCCAGTTTATGGAATCGTTTTTCAGATATAAACTTAGAATCGCCAAGCTTACTCACACTGTCTTTGAATGGGATAGAAACTATAAAACGGCCATCCGTATCACGTCTCGTAGTATTTACGAAATGTGTTTCACACGAATTTTCTTCGACCGATTTGGGCCTTTCCGTAGGTATCTCCTCAATCTCCCAGAATGAGGCTAATTGACGCTGAATATTATCATTGTTCACAGAAAGATTGCAAATCGACGTGCACCTATTGTTGCTAGGATATAAACTTAATGGCCCAGATACTACCCATCCCAGAACGGTTTTTTGAAGTAAAGGCATGTCTATGCCCAACTTAACTTGACCTATGCAAAGTAACTCATAGAATACTTCGATACCAATCAACATGTCTATTTTACCTGGCAAATAAAAAGACGGATCTGCCAACCGCAGATTTTTTGGAATATTCAACAGATTTTGATCAATCCTGATCATTGGTATGTCATTCGTTATGGTTGGTAACACATGAAAAGTTAAACATCTACTAAAGTCATTAATCATCGATCTTATTTCCAAATCGCACCTTGCCTTGGCTATTAAAGCATTCTCATTGAGCCCAGATACCGCAAATCGGACATTCGTAGTTGCTATACCTAGTCGCTTACAAAATTCTTCAGTGATATAGTTCGATTGACTCCCCGAGTCTAAAACCGCACGCCCCTGGCAGGACTTCCCATCCTTATCTAACACTTCTACAATGGCGGTGGACAGCAAGGCCTGGCTTGGCGCGTACGACGACAAGCAGACAGCCGCGATATCGCCGCCGTTGGTGGGTCCTCAACTGCTTCATGCGACGGTGCCGGCGCTTGTTCGATTTCTGACTTCTTTGGAGTGTTACTTTTATCGAAATGTAACAACGTGTTATGTTTAGCTTTGCAACGCTTGCAACCGACTTGAACTGCACTGTCTGCTGAAGTGCCCTAACTTGAGACAGTTCATACACACCCTTTTGTCTCTTAATTTGTCATACCGCTCTGACACACTTAATTTATTGAACAAGGGCACTTCTGCCACAAAATGATTTCATTACAATCACACATTTGGGCGCTGTAGTCGATGCTAATCCTTTGCTCGTGGTCGCATTCGGACGACCTCTAACGATTTTATCATTATTAGCTTTGGACTCTATTGTTTCCAATACATTTGCTCTGCCCTTCAGGAACTCTTGCATATCCCGTAACTTGGGCTTATCAGACAAATGTGACGCAGACCTTTCCCACTCCCTCAAGGACGACTTATCTAACTTCGTAGATATGATGTAGATTATGAGTGTGTCCCATGAATCTACCTGTTCACCTAACTGTCCAAGGGACTTCAAGTGTTTGGAACAGTGTCGATGATACGCCTCTAATTTCGCAGGCCCGCTTCTCTAGCTACCGGAGTTATATTGAAAATCGACTGCACGTGATTATGAGTTAGCAATTAACATTGTCATATCGCTCTATTACAGCATCATACGCGTTTTTGTAGTTTTGCTGCCGTGAAATCTATGCATTGAATGGAATTTACGGCATCTCCCTGCAATGCAGCCTTCAAGTAATGAAACTCTGGATATCAGTTATACTTTCATTTTCATGTATAAGTGAATTATAGATTTCCCGAATCAACCCAAGAGTTGGCATCGCCGCTGTATTTCGGCAGTTCGATTTTCGGCAACGAACGTCGATTTGAACGATCCCCTCTCCTCGGGCACGCGCACTGCTCGCAGTGGAAGGGACGAATTCGCGCTGTTGCCAGACTTTACTTCTGATTTGTCGTTTATTATCGATTTTGCCAAACCAAATAGCGATCAAAATAGTTTTTCTACGACTTCACGCTCCGCGATTTGCTCATCAAGATTCATCATCAAGAGCTAAAGATTCAATTTGGCACTGTATTCCTGCAAATTCCTCATTTGCCGCGTCTATTCTTTCAATTTTCTGCCGTAGTTCGAACCAAGGTTCCATCGTCTAAAGATTCCGTGGCAGATACATTATCTAAATACTTTTTGAAATTAGTGAGTCGCGCTTTTATTACGCCTCTCTGGCGCACCAAATTCGACAGATCATACGACATATTTTACAATTTGCAAAGCACTAAATTCTAAGCAAAGCAAGCAATTCTAATGAGCGTCTGAATCAACGACCTTAAGGCAAGATAATGGGCAAAAAGGGAATCAAGGACTCACCGCACCCCTTTGCAAGGCTAATCTCGAATCTCGCTGGTACTGGTAGTTCAGTTTCCAACTGCTATTCGCCGAAGGTCCAAAATGTTGAGAGACGGTAGTTGGCCTTGGTGTGTGAAATAACAGCTATTTGTTCCTTTTCCGGTGGTGAGTCTTGTTTATTCTCTTTGTACAGTGCTGTAGTCTGCTACTAAGCTTTCACAAACTTACAATAGGTATTTTTAAAACTACTTTTAACAATTTTAGAGACAGTTTTTTGTGCTCTTATAATTAACGTGTGGACTGTATGTTATATTTTCTCAACTCCTCTCACTGTTGCCACGTCGGGCAAATTGTTCGTAACACGCGGAAACACAGGCGTCTGGGCGATGATGTTGATATGATGTTCAGTAATTTAGCGAAATATTCAGTTCCATCGTTTCTGAAGTCATATGTAGAACAATATGCTTTACGAGGTACATTAGTTTTAATCATTATATTTTTGAATGTGTTCAAGTTTCGGGAGTCTAAATTCTTTGTATCAGGCTGTTTGTCCAAAAATATCAAATCGAGTAATTCGGGAGACATTTTAAATTTTATTCTCTCCTTCTTCTTCTCAGAATCCACTAGCAGGTAACGTCCACCAATATCAAAGCTCACTTGGAGTTTGCCATAATAATAACTTGTCCGACTGTGGATTTATTCTCACATTGTATATGCCTCCATACCCTGGATTGTTTGCTTTCAAATTAGATTTAAGGTTATTTATCAAGTTGATCAAAGATCCGGATGCTTCACTATGATTTGAAGTAGACATGTATCTACTCATTGAATTTTCTTCATGCGCTCCGAGTAATGAATGTGTGTCAGATTGCGTTTGCATCGGGACAATAGTAGAAAGTTTAGTATGAGTCACGTCACCAAATGATGCGTTTCCTGATTTATCTGATTCCATAGATTGTGCCCTAGGTGTGCTTGTAGTCGGTGGAAAGATCTGCTCAAATATATGGTCATTGAATTCACTACTGTTCTTAAGCAACTCAGTTTTTCTTACACCTGATTTTGTCGCATCAAATAATTTCTTTCTGATTCATCAAATGATACTTTTTTAGGATGCTTGGACTATCGATTTGGGGTGTTGACTGTTTGGACAAGCTGGATGTAGATGCTTCCGCTACTGTTTTGAGCTGCTTAGTAATGGGCTCATATACCTGCTGCAATGCACTATAATGGAATTCACGTCCTTTCTTGATTGCAATAAATTTCTTCCGAACTGACTCTGCTGCATCTACTAATTCCTTCTTGAGTGCCACTTCGGTGTTATTCTGCTGCCGTTTCATTTTGCTATCTTTTAATCCACCGCGATGCGTACTAGATGCAGTCCCACGATTGATTGATGGTGTTTCTAATCTTCCAGTGGATTTATGAAACTATCAAACCCCTTCCGGTAACGACCACTTGTCAGTTCGCTATCCTTATCGATGACTAAGAATCCGTATTTATCGCTCCAGCACACATGAGTTATAAGATCGATGCTTCGAGATCGCTTTTTAAAAAGTTTATTTTTCGAAAATACAAAATTCAAAAACTGTACTTTTACAAAATTATTACAATGTTATTATGATGTTAACAGTACAAAGGCTTAAATCTGACTGACTATAAAATGTGTTGAGAACAATAAAGTAAACTCTAGGTCTTCTAGGAAATTAGTAGCATCGTCGGCAGTATTCCTACATATCAGCAGGAACGGCTGATATAACTCCTCCCCCCTGAGATTCAACTTCGGGGAAGAATTCTTCAAGGAAGTTGAATAGGATGAAGTTCGACTTCTGGTGTTGAATACTTCTATTTCTGAGCTTCCTCCTCTTCAAAATGGTTTTCCAGAATGCGTAGACACCCAAGAGTAATATACATCCATATATTATCAGTGTCCAGGCACTGGGTATAAAAAATTCTGTAGGTTTTTTTGAAGTTGGGTTTGTTGCTGATAATGCTTGACTTGATTTTACTTAACTCGTCCAGCTTAATTTTTCTAGATGCAGACTGAAATTTGTTTCTGTGATGTCGCCTTTAGTGTCCAGGTTTAAGTCCGGGAATATTATAGGTTGGCCCGCGACAATCGTTTCGGGTTCATTTTTGATGATTGGGTGATTAATTTCGGCTTGACAGTTGACAGGAATAGAAAGTAGGTAAGTTCCCGTCAATCTTTTCATTTGCATTTCTTCGTGGCATTCCATTTGATAACATCTGGTAGTGGCAGGATCAATACCCATTGATTAGTCCGTTGGATTCGTTCGATACTTGGCTGATTGATTATCAGTGGAGTCCGGGCACATGCAGGGGCGTTTCTTCCATTGAATAGTTCAAGTTCACAGGGTAATGGACCATTAATGTCTCGCAACATGGTCTTCTCGCAGAGAAACTTTTTAGGAGTAATTTCAGTACAAATGTCGCCGAAAAGTGCAAAGTGCAATTCATTTTTTACCAAATAAGGCTCCTTTGGAATGATAGTCTTAATTGACCTTCAAAATATATCGGGATTGGAAAGAGACGATATAAGTTAAATGACTCATAGTATGAGATTGGAATGATAAAACGAATGTAATTTGTTGCCCACAGAATAACTGGAGATTTGATTATTTTTCAAATGTTGGTATGTTATCTAGTAAAACTGGAATCGCAAATTTTTCCTGGCCTAATCTTGAGCTCAATAGTTTCAGTTCACCAAAAATTTCTTCGGTTGTAATAATGCTAGAGTGAATTGTTCCAGACGTGCAAAAATTATTGAATTTTCAACGTCTTGTAATATTGACAGAGTTACTTCGTAGCTGTTCATAATTTGAGATACTGTGTCTACTATGAATTTATGCTGATCTGAATCGATTGTAGTACGATGAACAATTGCATATATGGTATTAATTTTATTATTCAGCAATTGTTCATTATGACAGATTTGCTGAACAGTTTTATTGAACTTATCAATAAGAGATACTGACAGTGCATTATTCTGTGTGACACTGTTAGTCAATTCTCTTTGATTATTTTGAAGCTCTTGAATTAGATTTCGAAACGTTCGCCATCATTGGCGTCAAGGTTTCCAGTTATTGATTTGATATCGACCCAATGCCATTTAATATGCCTCTTTTTCCTCGCTTTGTATGGGGAAATATATTATGTAACTTTTGTTCTACCTTGTCGCTGAACAAATTTTAATGTTCTGAAATAATTGGACAAATATGTAGTGACATTTAAATTTGAAGAAATGATTTCTGCTATACGTGAGGAGGAAATTGATAATTTTTCAATTCAGAAATGATGGGATTCATATCATAATAATGAATGAGTGAAAGTCATAGTCTTTTACTTTTGCTTCACCAATTTCCACGGGAAGTAGTCCTGGATTGTTGTCGAGGTTACGTATAGTTATGCTATCCTGAAGTCTAACCGTTACTTGCAGGAATCTGCAAATGAATAATACCTACATGTATGTATGTCGTACTTGGAGAGAAACATTTAGTTGCTAAATGAATATGGTTTGCGAAGGGGACGCTTCAAATTATCGATATGTACTTTATTGTGTTTATCAGTAGTAGCGGTCTTTTTACCAGGATCGACTGATGTTAGTGTACATGATTTTTGGAACTTATTTGCATTTTTCTGACGTATATTTTTCTTAACGAATGCTTTTTGACCTGGTTGAAATATTTTTGCACTATCTCGAGCTAAGTTTGCCTTTTCAATTTATGCTGATCTGAATCGATTGTAGTACGATGAACAATTGCATATATGGTATTAATTTTATTATTCAGCAATTGTTCATTATGACAGATTTGCTGAACAGTTTTATTGAACTTATCAATAAGAGATACTGACAGTGCATTATTCTGTGTGACACTGTTAGTCAATTCTCTTTGATTATTTTGAAGCTCTCGAATTAGATTTTCGAAACGTTCGCCATCATTGGCGTCAAGGTTTCCAGTTATTGATTTGAATATCGACCCAATGCCATTTAATATGCCTCTTTTTCCTCGCTTTGTATGGGGAAATATATTATGTAACTTTTGTTCTACCTGTCGCTGAACAAATTTTAATGTTCTGAAATAATTGGACAAATATGTAGTGACATTAATGAAGAAATGGTTTTCTGCTATACGTGAGGAGGAAATTGATAATTTTTCAATTTCAGAAATGATGGATTCATATCATAATAATGAATGAGTGAAAAGTCATAGTCTTTTATTTTTGCTTCACCAATTTCCACGGGAAGTAGTCCTGGATTGTTGTCGAGGTTACGTATAGTTATGCTATCCTGAAGTCCAACCGTTTACTTGCAGGAATCTGCAAATGAATAATACCTACATGTATGTATGTCGTACTTGGAGAGAAACATTTAGTTGCTAAATGAATATGGTTTGCGAAGGGGACGCTTCAAATTATCGATATGTACTTTATTGTCTTTAATCAGTAGCAGCGGTCTTTTTACCAGGATCGACTGATGTTAGTGTACATGATTTTTGGAATTTATTTGCATTTTTCTGACGTATATTTTTCTTAACGAATGCTTTCTGACCTGGTTGAAATATTTTTGCACTATCCTCGAGCTAATGTTGCCTTTTCAATTACTTTTTCTTTATTTTGAACAAGTGCCTCGTTGATTTTGGTATATAATAGCTTACTGCGTGCTTTGTGTTGTTCTACATAATCATTCAACAAAATTTGGTCTAAGCTGATGTCAAATGTATCTTTTTCACTGAGATGACCATTTATGACATCGATGGGTTTTAATTTAGTCACAGAATGAACAGAGTTGTTGTATGCTAAGATTGCGTATATCATTTTCATTTGGACAGATGTTTTTTGAAAGCCTTGAGTGTTTAAAATTCGGAGTTGCTCAGATATTGTCGAATGAAATCTTTCGACTACGCCATTTGACTGGGGATGGTTCGGGGAACAGAAATGTATTTCGATTCCATGTAAACCTAATAACTCGGATATGACTGAGTTTTTAAACTCGGTGCCATTGTCAGTAATAACTTGTGTCGGGATTCCATGATGGGAAAAGTATCGGATAAGGTTGTCAGCTACTTCGGTACCTGTCATTGAATTGAGATGGTAAGCTTGAGCGTACTTTGAAAAACTATCGATAATGGTCAAAAATTTAGATTTTTCAAATGTGTATGTGTCCATGTGAATTATTTCAAATGGCTTCACAGCAGTGGGAGTGATATTCATTTGCGCTTTAACAGGGTGTCTCTCGTATTTGGCTTGTTGACAGATTCGCAGTCATGACTGAACGGAACTTTTCAAATTTGGCCAATAGTACTTTTGTTTTAAGCGAGAATAGGTTTCATCGATCCCGCGATGATTTGATTTCCCTTCATGATAATTTTGTATTAAACTTTTAATTTCATCATTACTAGTGATGTCTAGAAGTTTTTCAAGACACCTTTTAAACTTGATAGAGGGCCATTTAAAATACTTTTGTAAAGCGCCTGAGAAGGGTTCATATATGTCAGGATCTTCGAAATATATATAGTATGGGACATCGGGTACAATATATTCCTTGACAAAATTTACAACATCTGATTCAAGGTTGTTCTTTGAAATTTGCACTAATAGCCGCTGTTTTCTCTCGAATAAAATTATGATTTTCGGCTTGGCGGGAGAGTGCAGGACCGTTTTAATTACGATCTGATTTTGGCCAAAGTTCAATGGTTGGTCTGATATAGGAATTGTAACAACCGGGTGTTGATTATTAGAGTGCCGGGTTTCATCATCCTTGTCAAGTTCGTCTTCATTAGTATTGGTTTTGTCAATAACAAAAGGAAGTTCGTGGTAGTCAGTTTGTTCTGTTTCATTGATTATATCTTTGTCAGTATTTGTATTGTCAACGGTAGGAAGTTCCTGACAGTCAGGTTGATCTGTTTCATTGTCCAAGTTGACAATCATTGAGATATCGTCTAGTTCAGGGTTTAAATTGGGGTAGCTAATATCTTGAATTATCAGTGGTGAATTTGGATTAGCTTGTGTCGTGGGAGGTGTGTTTAAATTTTGATCTACAAAGGTAATTCTTTGATTCTGATAGTTGGAGGCTTCTCCAAGGAAGTCATCGAGTTGTTCCCAAAAATCGTTAGTTTCCTTAGTATGAATTTCGATTCTAGAAAGAGCGTCAGCATTTGTATTGAGTTTGCCTTTTTTATAGATGATTTTGAAATTATATTCGTCAAGTTTCATTTTCCATCTCATTAATTTTGAGGAGACGCCTTCCTTTAATGAATAAAGGTACTGGAGGGGTTTATGATCTGTTATAATATTGAAGGTCTGCCCATAGAGGTAAGGTCTGAAATATTTGGTAGCCCACACTATAGCTAACAACTCTTTTTCGGTAGTGCTGTAATTTCTTTCCGAATCATTTAAGGTTCGTGACGCATAAGCTACAGGCAAATCACTACCGATTGGACCCTGACTAAGAACTGCCCCTAAAGCTACATTGCTTGCGTCAGTTGTCAAATTGAACGGTCTTGTGAAGTCTGGGTACTGAAGTATTGGGTCGTTGGTAAGTAATGTCTTACAGTTTTCGAAACATGATACAAATTCGTCGTCGTGAACAATTTTTGCGCCTTTTTTGAGGCACTTAGTGAGAGGTTTCGTGAGTTGAGCGAAATTTGGAATAAATCGCCGATAATAGCCTAAGAGTCCTAAAAAGCTTTTTATTTGCCTATTAGTTTTTGGTATAGGGAAATATTGTATTGCTGAGATTTTGTCGGGGTTAGGTTTCACGCCTTCAGGAGTTACTATATGTCCGAGGTATGCAACCTCTTTTCTTAGAAACTCGGATTTATCTAACTGAATTTTAAAGTTAGATTCGCGTAGTCGGGTAAAGACAGATCGTAGCCTTTCTAAGTGCTCTTGAAGAGACGTCGAAAATACGATAATGTCATCGAGGTAAACGAGACATTTTTCGTTTTGAATTCCTCGGAGGATGTTATCCATCACTCGTTGGAACGTGGCTGGTGAATTTTTAAGACCAAACGGCATTCTCAAAAATTCCCAATGGCCATTTTCGGTGTTAAATGCTGTTTTTTCAATGTCTTTCTCATCCATTTCTATTTGGTGAAAACCACTAGCAAGATCCAACGTACTGAAATAGTGGCATCTTCCTAGTTTGTCCAGCAGGTCGTTTATATTGGGAAGTGGATATTTGTCATCAATAGTCTTATCGTTAAGATTACGATAGTCTATTACGACGCGCCATTTCTGTTTGCCAGAGGCATCCATCTTCTTAGCCACAACCCAAATGGGCGAGCAATATGGCGAATTACTTTGCCTAATAATGTTCGATTTCAACATTTTTTGGATTTGGTCATTTACTTCTTGTCGGTGAACAAAGGGGTACCGGTAGGTCTTGGAATAAATTGGGATCTCATCAGTAGTTCGAATCTGATGTTTTATCTTGTTTGTGAAAGTTAGTGGTTCGCCTTCACGATAAAATATATCCGAAAATTCTTTGCAAAGTTTGAGGATTGCGGACTGTTCTTCTGAATTTAGGTGGTCTACTCTAATTTTGGAATAGTCTAGTTTATTTTCTGGAGAATCGTTGATATTATTAAGATCAAATTCTTGACATATCGTCGGATGTATAGACTGGTAAAATGGTTCAACAGAAAGGGGTTCAGAAAAGTCGAGTGTAACGGTATCTGTCGTATTGTTCAGTAAGGTCGTCAAAGCATAACTATCTTTCGCAATAGTCAAGCATTCCGGTATTTCACAATTATGGATTTTTTGGTGGGGTATAATAATTTCGCCATCGCTTATGGATGTTTTAACTTTTATGACAAGCTCAGTGCGAGGTTCGATGGTAACAAAATTCAAATTATTCTTAGGTTTTTGATAAAGCAACTTGATTTTTGCATACGGTGTCACAAGAAACCCTTCTTGAAATAAGAGTCTTGCCTGTAATTCTTCTAAGTTATCCATACCGATCAAACCATTGAAAAAATCATGAAACTTGAACAAGTAAAATTTTAATTCCTTTAGATGAGGCAAATTGAAAATTTTGGATGCTGGTATTAAAGTACTGAATTTATGGGCGGATTTCTGAAATACAGACGAAACAATGAATGGTTCATTTTGATTTGTTGTGGAAAATATTTGAATGCGATGTCTGGATCTATAAATGACCTAGTAGACCCGCAGTCAATCAAAAGTTTTATGTCATATTCGGGAAAAACTATATATAGCTCAATCCTTTTGTGTTGCTAGCATTGAACGATTAATTTCACTGTTTATGTCGGTTGAATAACCTGGCTGGCTGGGGGAAAATTTCCATTTCCTGACGTCGAGGTTGGGTTGGGCATGTCAAGTTCATTATTTTGATCGGTATTGTAATGATCGTATTGACAAATATTTTGGTTGGGGTCATCATAGAATTCATCGTAATTATTTTCGACGTTAGTAGCAAAATTGCCTGTATCATAAGTTTCATATGTTGCGTTATCATTTAACTCGGTGTTATACAGTTCCTCAAAGATAAAATTTTGCTGAGGTCGAGGTGTGTTCGCCGGAATTGGAGCGAATGGTGGACGTATTGTGTTTCTTGTGCTGACACTCATCGGTGTCGGCCTTGGAAGATTTCTTGGATTTGAAGAATTGGGCTTAAAAACGTTTGTATTCGGATTCTTTGTTTGTTGGCTGCCAAAGACTTCAGCGTTAGTCGGGAAACGCTGATTTAAGTTTGGCCTAGGTTGAATTTGGATGGGTTGAGATGGGAATTGCGCACGGAAAAAGCTATTAGGCGTACGAGAATTAAAATTTTGATAAGGCATATTAACTGGGCGTGCAGGTCTGAACTGCGAATTTTGAAAATTTGTAAAATTCTGTGAATCTGTCTTAACTCTATATGAAACGTTTTGGAAATAATGCACATTTTGTTCTTCAATCACTAATTGAAGAGCTTCGCTCAAGGAGGTTGGTTTCATGCACCTGACAGTGGTGCCCAATGGTTCTTTCAAGCCTGAAAGGAAAGTCTTTAACGCAAGTTTTTGATACAAATCGCGTTTTATTGCTTTACCACTTTCGGTAGCTTCGTGGATATTAACGTAGCTACACAGATTGTTTAAAATATGCAAACATCTTTCGTGAAATTTTTGAGGGCTCTCATTTTGATATTGCTTTAGTAAGCAAAGGTCTCTATGTAAGCACACTTCATCACGTTGGTCAGAAAAACTAGTAACTAATAAAGTTTCGAGTTCACTCCAGGTGTTCACTGAATGAATGTTTATTAAAGATTTGGCATGTCCTCTCAGCTTTGAAAGAATGGAGTTCAATAAAAATGTATTTTGAAAATTGTTTGGATTGGAATGATCATAAAAATTGTCAATCAAGGATTTGCTTACACGCAAAAATCGATTGAGATCGTTACTGTTGCCGTCAAATTCGGGCACGCAACTTAAGTATTCGGGCCTAAAAGTAGCCATAGTTGTAGTAATACTTGTAGGTATTGAATGTACAGGGACTTGTGAAAGTATGGGCTCACGTAGTATATTAGAGTACCGTCGAGTATTTGGAGAGTCAGTATTAAGGTCCAAATTCTCAAGGGCTTGCGATATATCAATACTCATTGAAATTTGAAGCGATAAATGGAAAAAAATAAACTGCACTTACAACACTAAGAAAGCGATCTTTAGCATCTCTTACTCCTATAAAGATCCTAGCTGGTTCTGCAATGTTGTCTTCCCCAGGCTGGAATCCTTGCGAACTTGGGCAATGTGGTCCCAAATTCCGATGCCCTTCGTATGTAGCTGTTCACGCCGGTTCCTCGATGGATTGGGTATCCAAAAATATGAATCCACTCCAGTGCTCACTGCCACTACACGAATGCCACCAAGTCCAAAAAGGCCGGATAGAGTCCCGAAAAGTCCCGTCGCGACGGTTTGCGAAAGTCTTTCCCGGGTCGCGTATTTCTGATCCTACTGGATTGACTGCGCCAGTTATAAGATCGATGCTTCGAGATCGCTTTTTAAAAAGTTTATTTTTCGAAAATACAAAACTCAAAACTGTACTTTTACAAAATTATTACAATGTTATTATGATGTTAACAGTACAAAGGCTTAAATCTGACTGACTATAAAATGTGTTGAGAACAATAAAGTAAACTCTAGGTCTTCTAGGAAATTAGTAGCATCGTCGGCAGTATTCCTATCATATCAGCAGGAACGGCTGATATAACTCATGCGTTTGATTTCGTCGGAGAGTGGCACATACTTATTGATTTTTTCCGCATGGGTGGTTTGGATATTAGTAGGAAGAGGCACAGCTATGTCTATTATAAACGTCGTTCTTTCTTCTTTTAGTGTGAGCACTATGTCAGGAATATTGTTGGGGATGGGCCTGTCAGTTATGATTTTACGGTTCCAGTACAGCCTAGAGGTCTCCGTTTCTATCACAGGTGGCGGCGTGTATTTATAGTAGGGCTGTGTACCAGTTTCTCCTAGATGCTTTTTAGCCAAAGCTTGATAAAGTATTTTGGCCACATCATTGTGCCTTTCAAGATATTGTTTAGGAGCTAAGGGAGAGCACCCTGCTACAATATGATCTATGTGCTCATCTTTTTCCCCACATATGCGGCATCTGATATCGTCAACGCTATCATGCATTATACGCTTTCGGTACAACTTTGTTGGGACTACCTGATCCTGGATGGAGGCTATGAAGCCCTCCGTCTCCAGGAACAGATTACCTGACTGCAACCATCCTTGGGAAGCCTTCGTGTCAATGGCGTTGTCTTCTATGCGGCTCCTATACCGACCATGTAGTGGTTTGGCTTTCCATTGGCGAACCAGATCCTGCATTGGGGTTATCTTTGCCTCAGGGTCGAAAGATTTTTCTGAAAGGTTTAGTGGTGTCAACTTTTTATCCGTCTGTGTTATTGCTTGATGCATTCTGCTGGATGTGGCTTTTTGGAGGAAGTACTGGCGTAGATTGTCCACTTGGC